GACAAATGGACACGGAAAGACAAAGGGACACGGAGGGACAGATGGACTAGGAGGGACACATGGACATGGAGGGACAGATGGACAGGGAGGGACAAAGGGACACGGACGGACAGATGGACAGGGAGGGACAAAGGGACACGGATGGACAGATGGACAGGGATGGACAAAGGGACACGGAGGGACAAAGGGACACGGATGGACAAAGGGACACGGAGGGACAAAGGGACACGGAGGGACGGAGGGACACATGGACATGGAGGGACAGATGGACAGGGAGGGACAAAGGGACACGGACGGACAGATGGACAGGGAGGGACAAAGGGACACGGATGGACAGATGGACAGGGATGGACAAAGGGACACGGAGGGACAAAGGGACAAGGATGGACAAAGGGACACGGAGGGACAGATGGACACGGAGGGACAAAGGGACACGGACGGACAGATGGACACGGAGGGACAAGCGGACACGGACGGACAGACGGACACGGACGGACAGATGGACACGGAGGGCCAGCCAGCCAGCTGGACACAAACAGGCGGACGATGGACAAGCGGACGGCCGGCCGGACAGACGGACAGCCGGAGGCACAGCCGCCCCTCCCCATGGCCCCACCTTGACGGAGTAGGCCAGCGAGATGGTGACGGCCAGCGGGAGCCCCTCGGGGACGGCCACCACCAGCACGGTGACGCCGATGATGAAGAACTTGACCCAGTACTGCACGTAGACCGGGGCGCACTCGGCCAGCCAGGGCCGGCCCTGCACCACGAAGGTCTCGATGACGAAGTAGAGCACGAGGATGATGACGGTGATGGCCGACATGGCCAGGCCTGCGCGGGGACAGCCGCGGGACGCGTCCCCAGAGGTGGCCGCGGCGCTGTCGCCCCGTTCGGGGACGGCAAGGCCTCTGGTGTGCGCGGTCACTTGGGTCACTTGGGTCGGATTTGGCCTTCTTGGGGGTACCCTGTGTGCTTGTCCCCACCTGTGTGCTTGTCCCCACCTGTGTCATTGTCCCCACCCCGTGTCATTGTCCCCTCCTGTGTCCTTCTTGGGGGTACCCTGTGTGCTTGTCCCCACCTGTGTGCTTGTCACCAACCTGTGTCATTGTCCTCACCCCGTGTCATTGTCCCCAGCCCGTATCCTTCTTGGGGGTACCCTGTGTGCTTGTCACCACCCTGTGTCATTGTCCCCAACCTGTGTCCTTGTCCCCACCCTGTGCCTGATGCCCCACTCTGTGTCCTTGTCCTCACCCTCTGTCCTTGTCCCCACCCTGTGTACTTGTCCCCACTCTGTGTCCTTGTCCCCAACCTGTGTGCTTGTCCCCACCCCGTGTCCTTGTCCCCACCCTGTGTCCTTCTTGGGGATACCCTGTGTCCTTGTCCCCAACCTGTGTCATTGTCCCCACTCTGTGTCCTTGTCCCCCCC